AGAGAGAGAGAGAGAGAGAGAGAGAGAAGGGGAATTGATTGTATACACACTAGCAAGTAAAAAAACTGTCAAATCACGTTCGAAGCCCCCTGTTTCACGACCAGCCAAGCTTGGTGTGAATTTTTGCCTATTGACACAACTCAATAGAACAGCAGCAGCAGAGTGCTGCAATGGGAGTGCAATTAGCGCAGAGGCGCGAGGGAAGATGGCTGAGGGCCACCACTTTTACCCACCAGCAGTGGTCATTTCGATTAATTATTTAGTACAGGACACACACACAGCCTCGTTTGTGTCAGCAAATGCAGGACAGTGCAGAGGAGACGATGCAATCACGATGCAGTTGACACAAACGAGTGGGGTAGCCCCCACAGCTCCACAGTTGGGCCTGTCGTGTTTGCTATTGAAAGAGCAGCAGCAGCAGCAGCAGTCCAGTGTAGTGTACATCTGTGTGCTCAAGTGTGTGCACTGGAGTCAGTGAAAAATACATAGACACATGACAGTGAGGCAGTGACCACTGGATTTACTTTGCAGCAGCAGCACTAGCACTAGTAGTGCTATTTGGCAATTTGTCTGATGTGCCGGCAATCATGGTAAATTAAATAGGCGTCATTAGGTCTAATGCAATTGCACCGATTGAGCGCCAGAAGAGATTTACGAGCAGTGGTGGTGGGCAGTGAAGGGGGACAGTGTACAGTGGTTCAGTGGCAGCTACTTCGGTATCTCCCGACAGCAGCAACAGCAGCAGACGACGGTGACGGTGCTGGCCAATAAAGCAATTGCTGCGATTGCGATACACTGCAGTGCGACACATTCCAGACTGGTTAGGGGAAAGAAGGGGAGAGAGAGAGGAAATCTACCGACTATGGCGGTGAACCCTATGCCACATGAATTCCAGAATTTTGGTTCCAGCAGTGGTGCAGTAAATCAATCAAAAGCCGTTGCTTCTCCAAGTACCGTTGCAGCCATAGCTTCAGTCACTACCATTGCCAGCTACTCACCAACCTGGCGCTAATGGTTCTCTTAATTAGAAGGGGCCACATTTGCTGCAGTGCCCATTTTCTTTCCTCTCCTCTCCTCTCATTTCGCTTGTCGCATTGCAGTCGCTTTTGGAGGCACTGGCAGCAGACATTTGACGGCTGCTGCCATTCGTTGTTGTTGCTGCTGCTGCTGCTGCTGCTGATCAGCCATATTCTCTCATTCTCATTTTCATTTTCCCATTCTTCGGCAATTCCGCGTAGCGTCAACACAAACAAACACACACAGCAGCAACAGCAGAAGCAGCAGAAATGCACACAAAGGCACACACACACAGTGAGCAAGGGGCATTATTATTACATATGTTTGCATTCTCTCGTCGGTGTTTAGGAGAATGTCTTTGACTGTCGCTCCGGTGTACTGGTGCCGTCTGTCGTTGCCCAGTGCTCCGGTGGTGCTCTTATTCTATTCCATTCCTGCTGGGCGACGACAGTAATGTCTGCACTCTGCTCTGTACGTAACGATTGAGTGTGTGTGTGTGTGTGTGTTTGGTAGCAGGGCACAGCAGCAGCAGTGAAATGGCTCGTTTATATTTAGCACCGACAATATTTTTATTGGCTTCGATTGAATCAAATTAAGCTCGCCCTGCCTGCTTGCCTGCAAGCGACCATATTATATTTGAGCGCTAGGCGTCTGGTAATGGTGCTGCTGCTGCTGCAGCGTTAGCACTGGTCGCGCCAGTGCCCTACTGGAATAGTAGAGTTGTGGGCTAGACTCGATTGTGTCACCCGAAGTAGTGGGAACTTTGGTAATCGTTTGGCCCATTTCTTTATTGGCAGAGAGCTAGCCTGCCCCAGCTAGGGAGCTAGCCTGCCCCAGCTCACCATTTATCGATTACACTCCTAATGACAGAGACACACATTTTTTCTTTTTCTTTTTTTTCTTTTCCTTTTCTTGTTCTATCGGTCGGCTCATAACCACCACCACCGCCGCCACTACCAACACGCCATTGCTTCACGCTCTTTGCCGACTTCTTTGGTTTCCTTCTCTCTTCTTGTCTTCGTTTCTTCTTCTTTCTTTTTTTTGGGTTTCTCTTCTTTCTCCACCACCACCACCTTCTTCTTCTTCTTCTTTGTCTGCCTTCAGTTTCCGAAAAGGAAATACGGCAGTGGTGAGTAGAACAGAATAGCGCTCTGGTGACTGTCACCAGACTGCTGCTCAAATGTGTAGACATAATAACTGACATAATAATTCTTTCTTCCCTCTTCCTCTCTCAGGTACAAGGGATTCAAGAAGGACTGTCCTAATGGACAACTCACGGAACAGGTTAGTGGGCTAGCCAGCGCACAGTACAGCACCCAAAGCAGACAAAGCAGTGTTAGCTAGTGCTGGTGTGTGTTTGTGCTCCTAATTAATTGACAGAACCCCTTCTCTAATGACTTACGACGTCCATTTATCACCATTTACCCATTACCACCACCTTATTATTATTATATTTATTTCTGGGCAGGGCTTCCTGAGAATATACAAGCAGTTCTTTCCACATGGTGACCCATCCAAGTTTGCCTCTCTCGTCTTTCGGGTCTTTGACGAGAACAAGGTGAGTAGCTAAAAAATTGCGCTAACAAGCTGCTGACCACTAATTGACTTTCCGCTCATTAAATACTTTTTTCTATTACCCAAACACACAAAAACACACACAACACACAACAACAAATAAAAATAAAAACAGGATGGCTCCATTGAGTTTGAGGAATTCATCAAGGCGCTCTCGGTGACATCCAGGGGAAACTTGGAGGAAAAACTTGTCTGTAAGTGGTGCTTTTTCTTCTTTTTCTTCCTTTTTGTGCACCGATTCTGTTTTTGTGTGCTCACTGGGGCAGCAGTGCAATGAATGGAAAGCAGCTGCAATTGCACCTGTGGTCTGCACACATACTCAATGTTGCCGGCATCGGTGCACCTACATTGCATTCTAATTGCTTCACTGCATCTCTTTTTTTCTTTTTCCTTCCTTCTTTCCTTTCTTCCATTATTACCTGCATTCCAAACTCTCTGCACGGTGAACGCAGGGGCATTCAAGCTGTACGACGTTGACAATGACGGGTACATCACCCGCGAGGAGATGTACAACATCGTCGATGCCATCTACCAGATGCTGGGCACACAGGCGAAGATTGCAGAGGAGGAGGAGGAAAATCCCAAGGAGCGCGTGGATCGAATATTCGAGCAGCTTGACAAGGTAAGAGAACGGTAGAGAAAGAGAGAAAGAGAAATAGATGGATAAATGGATAGATGGGTAGCAGATAGAGAATGGCCGGCCACTGCACTGAATGCCAATGAGAGTGAAAAGTGCACAGCCAAAAAGAAGACCGGAGGAATATTCAGTGCATACTACTACTACTCAACCACTAACTTACTCACTTTTTTTTGGGCAACTTTGTTCTCTTTCTTTTTGACTCAACACAGAACCAGGNAAAAGTGCACAAACAGTTGGACCGGAGAAATATTCAGTGCATACTACTACTACTACTCAACCACTAACTTACTCACTTTTTTTGGGCAATTTTGTTCTCTTTCTTTTTGACTCCACACAGAACCAGGACAACAAGCTGACGCTGGAAGAGTTCAAGGAGGGCTCCAAGCAGGACCCGAAGATTGTGCAGGCCTTGTCACTCTACGCACCCTAGCACCCTCCACTGTAAAGCACAGCACAGCACAGCATCATCATCATCATCAGCTAAACACTCTCTGCACACATCACTTGCTAGGCTTGCACCCGACTAATGAAAAGAGTGAAGAGGAGCTCACTATCCCCAGCAGTGTTTTCCCACTTCCGAAAGACACTGAAGAGAGTGAAGACGACCATTAACACTGACACTAACAAACTAAGAACATCAACATCAACATCTCACTCTCATCACTTCACCCTCCTTACCATCATCGTCGTTAGTGCACCTCTTTGCTTCTACTTTTCTTTTTCTTCTTCCTCTTCATTTCTATTACTTCCTCTCTCCCACTCACCACCACCACCACTCTTGCTTTCAATTGCTGGGAATATTTTTGTACAACGACTACNTCTTCCTCTTCATTTCTATTACTTCCTCTCTCCCACTCACCACCACCACCACTCTTGCTTTCAATTGCTGGGAATATTTTTGTACAACGACTACAACACACAGAGGCGATGACTACAAAGGCGGGGAGCTCCCAATTCACTTTCTCCAACTACCAAATCACGGGCTACAAACATGTTTTGTTTCTCGGTGTACATTGGCAGTCGCTTGTTTCTCTGTTGTTAACACACACTCACTCATTCACTCATTCACCCATCTCGCTATACATAGACCATTTGCTGACAACCTTCTTCACTGTTCTTATAAGACAATGCACCAACACAGCCACCACCACCACCACCATTACTGTTCACAATTCACACTGCATCCAAACCATTTTCT